TATGCCATTCACACGCATTAGCCTAAGAAAACTGACGTGAGTTAGGCTCACCAGTTCATGACAGTTAACCATAGACAATATATAACACAAAGTTTTACACATGAAGTGACCCACACATTAATGTTCTTTAAAAGAAAAAAAAAGCTCCAACGCAAGTGCGCTGCATTCATTATATATGTATTCTTTGTTACAAACTGGGGAGCTTCCCAAAAACATAGTATGTCATTTCATCCAAATAGCCAATGTTTTGCGTGTCAAAAACGTCACGGCACCACATTTGGCAGAATCAATTAGTAGTACAAAATATAGATATTCTGGTGGCTACATTAATCTATACTATCTTCTATTCTATATAATGTTTAGTACTTAATATTGTGTAACACAAGATAATGGTCATGGTACGTTTTCTTGCTATTGCTAGTTACATACTAGCTGAAATTAGCATACTGGGATGCGCCTTTTGATATTTATTGTCTGGTCATTTAAGTATTATATATACAGAACGTCATGTGCAAGTTATACTGTTATTTCCCGACAAAACCCGAAGTGTGTGTGCCTTTTATATCAAATGTATGCAAAAAGTATGTATACACCATTATGTTCCGTAAATGATCTCAATTAGTTTATCTGTAAACATTTTGACAATATAATATTAATACAACGTGTCAATACATACCTGCGTCATCAATTAAGACCACTACAATGTGAGGAGGGTTTCCACTCATGTCACAGGAATCATCTAGAGTGACAATGAATACTAGGTTAATACATAACAAAGATTCTTAATAACGAGTGCAACACACAGGAAAAAAAACATAATACATATTTTTGAGGTTTGACAATGCATCAAAGTAATGTATATTACTTCAATTACTTATACAGACTAATCGCGATGTGCTCATTGAAAGTAAATGCTCTTGTATATTTTGCTTTAATGATTTGATTATGTCGTATAATGTACTTGGCAGTTATTGTTTTTGTGTTTGTGACTGTTCTCAGTCATTTATTTATTTTGTAGTTTGGAGTCTTCCCTATGTTTTCAAAGATATATGGTTGGGAATGTTATTTCCGCTATTCAAGAGTATGCTAATGCAATTTCACCACCAAAACACTCACCATTGTCATCATCATCCGATGATGATAATGACGATTTATCACCGCAAATTGTGTTTATATCTTCATCAACGGAGGACTCATCATTTTCATCTGAAATATATGAACATAGTTTTTCTGATGAAAAAAACGCCCTCTCACTGTAACAATGTGAATCGTGCATTTATTCAGTATTTTAAACTGAATACAACCGTATCACAATGCAGTATCGTCAAATGTCATTTAATAATGTTCATGTTTTCATGCAAAATTATATAATGTGTAATATAAGTGTGGTTTAACATTTTTGAAAATTTAACAAGCACACTTGGAAGACAAATATGAAAGGGTGTATGTTACCATTTGTCTTTCAATCATCAGTTATACTGATTTGTGTGTTTCACAATTTTGTTAGGATGTATTCGGAATTACATTTATAATAAAGCCTTAAAAAGGATATTATATACAAATGCATCATATTTAAATAAAGAAAGAAATAACTGATATTACCTGATTTAGAATATTTCTTTCCATTGACTGAAAATTGAATAAATCATGATACATTTTTACTTATTACGTGTTTATAAATGGAATTAAACTAAACACAAATGACAATGAACATTTATTATAGACATATTGGATGGCGTTTAACAATGTGGACTATTCTAAGATAGGGATCAACTCATCAATTTATATAATCACTAGTCTATCTACTTCCGCTAAACCAAATTAAACAATAAACTAGTACATGTTATTGCTTACCTGAAACAAAAACAGTCATCAGCAGTAAACAAACACCCACAGCTAATACGCGTTTACTGGTTGGCCTGCTACAATTCTGAGACAATAACAAACGGAATTAGTGCTTCCGTTGCTATATGAACATAGAACGACATTGATGTAACATAACTGATATCTTATAATAGAAAGTTAGAAATATCCCACCTCCATTTTCCCTGTCATCTTGATGCCTAGTTCAGCAGAATGAGTTTCACTGTCACCGATAAATACTAATTTAATAAAAAAGTTAATTATGGATCAGTGAATGAAATTGAAATGTTATATACTGTGAAATGCATTCATGACGAGTAGCGATATTCGGCAACGCAATGAACACAATCAGTTTCATCCTTCAAATTATGGATATCATTTAATCACGCAGGAAACAGTTTTGTCTCACTGTCTGTCTGTCTTTGTAATACCTAAACAATTTACTATTGGATTGTTTAGCCTGCAAAATCCTTATCCCAACTTAAATAGACATTTAATTGCGTATATTGATTCATTTTCGCCGACAAAGGCTATAATGTTTGCAACAGGTATCCTATTATCAAACAAAAAAAGTATATGAAACCAAGAAATCAGGGCACACTAAAATATGAATGTACTTGGTTGAGATACTTGTAGAAACATGTTCCACCTTATTTATCGAAATGCGCATTTTAAACATTGCCAGTAAATCATGGGTTGTGTTGTCATGCAAATCCATTTCAACCTTCATGACAATGTGACGTCCACATCAATCCGCCGCTTCCCGAATCAAATGAAGTATGAATTGTTCCTACACGTGACAATTATATCGGCAGAAGTTCACATTGATGAATCATAAATATATTTACATTTCGTGATTCTGGGTGGGTTGGATATAGGAACTTGTGAACGATATATACAATACAAGTAATCGTATTCGGAGTTATAGTCTTGTATACGATGTTTCAAACACGCCAATAATATAACTAGATGTCGAGTGTACACCCCCTTACACAGTCTCATTCTCAGTCAAACCGTATCACGGCATGTATCTCCAAAGCCACGTTCGATTTAAAGCACCGATTTCATAGAACATTAAAGTCCGCATTCATCAAACACCATAACACAACAAAACACAACACAACACAACGAGGTAATTTATAAGAACAGTGGACACCACTTACATATTGTACTTAGAAAACATAGACTGCCAGTTACGCCTAGAAGACTGAACTTCTAGATAAGAAGCTTTGACAATACATGCAATATGCAAAATATCAAGTTGATTGCTTAAAGAATTTATAACAAAACAAACTGTTTTTGTTATGCCACACATGAACTCAAAATAATGAGAATGAACGTAATTGAACATGCGACTGAACCTAAAGTACCAATGATGAAGTTACATATCTAATGTGTCAATCGTTAATTAATTTATTTACAACACATGCACATTCGAGATACTTATCCAATGACCGAGAAGTCAGTATGCCATTAGTGGCATGTCGCATACTGTTATAATAAATAAATACACAAACAGATCGCTTGTGTACACAAAATAACTAATTTCTTATAATTACAATTCAGACAGATGACCTATCTTAAAAACGCTGTATTATTTTTACCATAGAAGATATGTGTATGCATACCAGCACCAAATAAAACGCGGGTTTCCTCATACTACCAGGGTAAACTTTTTGTCTTTACTGCTCAACTTGCAAGCTCAATACAATAAAGTAACAAGGTACAAAGTCACTTTCTTAATTTTGCTAATTTTTATTTGTAAAGCCTGAATCAAATATTTCGAGCAGCGGGACTGGCCGACTGGTCTTTTGTTTTTGGACGCTCCTGATCTCGGCCAACTGGCTCGTCTTTTGCTGCCTTTGTGAGTACAGTGCTTGTTCTTCAACGCTTCCACGTTTTGTCTATAGTATCACTGGTTGTGTGTGAGTATTTCTTGTTCAGTTTTGTTGGTTATTTTCTCGTTTTTGGAGACATTTTCCTTGTTTGATTGTGGGTCGAAGTGAACGGCAACCAAGATGGCGGCCGTTCAAACAAAAGCTTCGTCCACACCTGCTGTTAATCTTACAAGAAGACATGCAGTTCGCTGTGAAAGTGTGGATGGTATTCCAGTTCAAACGTACTTGGAAACAGCGGCCGATTTAATCGGTGGTAACAACATAATTGCTGCTTCGAGAATGAACAAATCTGTTGTGATTAATATGTCATCAGTTTCCTGTGTTGATATGGTTTGTGCCAATGGAATGGACATTGGCGATTTGTCTATTTCGGTCGAGCCACTTGTCCGCCCATCCACCAAAATGGTTTTATCAAATGTGCCACCTTTTTTACAGAATGAATGTATTATTCGTGCTCTAACACCATATGGACGGGTAATGAAGGGTTGCAAAAAACCTACGTTAAAACATGTTCAATCATTTCGTAGACAGGTCTATGTGAATCTCAAAAGCACAAATATTAATGGATTATTGCCAATTGTGTATGACAACCAAACCTTCAACATCTATGTTACAACCGATGATTTTGCATGTTTTTTATGTCATCAAAAAGGCCACACACGTAACAACTGCCCAAACAAACACTCTATTGTCATGCAAAATAAAAACCCAGAAAACAATGGCGATGTAATTAACACTTTGACAGATGGACCAGAACCGAATTCCACAGAAAGTGCCAATAACAAAAATGACAACCTGAACAATGGTAATCCTCAATTTCCTGCTATGGATGAGGGATCGGACAGTCAACAATTGCTTCAGTAGAAGAGAGGGTACGAACCCCTCCTTCTCCCCCTATTTTCTCTTCCTCTCTATCCCTGCAACTTGTGATGCACCTCGTTACGTTTATGCAGAGGTTACTATTTCTAAAAAAACAACCTTTGCCGAGGTTACTACAGGCAAACAATCATCTACAGCCTCTGTACCTACTACTGTTGCATCACATGACCTGCTTCTGTCTCCATCATCACCAACTTGTACGTTTGAATCAACAAACCTTTCACCGCTAGAGTCATTTTCATTGAAGTCCATTGAGACTGCTGCTAAACTGCCACTATATGTATATTATTTTACCGCCCTCTAAAAACAGATTTACAATGAACCAAAACATTTACATACTGTAAGAAACATATATGGTATGCCATTGGTTAGTGCATTTAATTTGTTTGATGCAATCATTGTGCCAGCTATTTCTTATGGTAGCGATATGGGGGTACAAAAATTCGGAAATCGAGAGGGTACAGACAACATTTTTGAAGATATCTACTTAGCGTGAATAGTTGTAC